GATGCAATACATGCAGGCGAATCAGGTATAAACCGCCTGTGAAAACTATGAAGCAGATGTGAATTATACGCTCTTGGCACGGTGTTTGATGACGGGCTGAGGTTGACGAGTGACGGATATGCAAAATGTTTGCGAAGCATTTATATGCGTCTCATGTTTTGTATTCACATTCGAGTGTTTCTATTGGGCAAAAAGCTGGGCTCACGCCGTTCTTGCATGGCGCTGCACGCGCTCAACTCCAAAGCTTGGCATTGCTAGCATTTATTCACAACTTTAATCAATCTGAGATGATGGAGACCATTCTTGGTTCTCCAAGTACAATTTACAAAATGCCTTTCTCGAATTTACTCTGAATGCGTTATCGTTATATAAGGAACTTACGAACTGGGATTTTCTCCAGTGAAAATTGCCTGTAATGGCTTATGTCTGAATTTTTAAGCCCGGATGAGATTGCAATAATACGGGTTCCGCGATGAATAGAATGTGCAAGACGTGAAAAGCAACCAGAACATTGTGCTCGGAATTCGTCGATCAACGACCAGAACAGATTTCGTCTCGCGTTTGTCCCCAGACAACGGGCTCCTCGGGTCCGTATCAATTCGGCACTTTGATTTCGCAGATGTATCCGTCATAGTTTCCGCTGCAAGGAGAATCGGCCCAGCAAGGAACGGGGCCGTGAAGCCAAAAATGCAGGCAATAGCCAGGGACGCCACCATTGGGTTCGGTGGAACAGAAGCCAGCTTCACCTACCCCGGTGACGGTCAGGTTGGTGTCTGGAAAGCAAAAGAGGAAAACGGTTTCAATCAATCCGGTTGTGTCTTACAAGGTTCAGTGCACATGGGAAAGGTGCCTACCTAAATTTCATTCGGTGTTGAAAATGACGTTTAACTTGTAGATTTAACATGCTCCTTTTCATTGTGTCAAACGCGTATCAGAAAATCAGTGGTCACCAGTTAAGCTTACCAGCAATACTTAACTTAGTTTAAATGGACTGACAGGATCGTCAGGCCACAGAATGATTTGAATCAAGTAGGGTTAATCGGTTTGAGTAAATCTGTGTCACCTTAGGTTACTCTTGGACGGACACTTCGGGTCGTTCTCAAATTCATTGAACTTCGGGCTGTGGATGGTAATTTGGCTTAAGTGAAGTCAATGAGTGACTATAGGTCAGACAGGGTCGTAAAGACAATGTGTCAAAATAGGTTAATCTGGGTAAATTTAAGGACATTTTGGTTCACTTGTAGTGACTGCGTCATTTCGACATTTCCTGATTAAGATAACGTTGGTACAATTCAAACAGGAGTGACGTAAGCTAAGCAAACTAAGGTTCAACCCTTAGCACCGACAATACCACTTCGTCGTACCTATGTCTGTCCACGCTAGCATTGATCGGATATAGAGCGAATAAATCAATTGCACTGCTTCCTTAGCATCCATGGATATATCCTTTCCATGGGACAAAACTTGCTCCAACGCACTGTTTTCCTAACCGTGCCCGCAGTGGATGTTCCGTGCCAGCTTGTTTCTGTTTTTCTCTGCCTACTTCCTTCTCTTCTACGTGAGTTCTCTTCATTGTCAAAAGTGAGTCATTCCAAGTTTAAGGGAATCTCTGGCAAGGAATAACCTCATGTGATATGGTACCTATCGACTCCGGATAGCCCATAGGCCCCCGATGGCAATAGTCTAACTTCATGCTGTCTGGTGTCACCGGAACTGTAATTTAATATAGTGCTCGTTCACGGCCAAGCGCCTTTTCAAGGCAGATATTTGTCATGACCAAACTCCTCCTTATGACCTAAGACTCATTTATTCCACACCTCGGTATGTGACAGGGTCTGGTATTCTTTTGTCTTTTACTTATTTATTTATTCATCATTAGTTTTAGATAGTATGATGGGCTTTAAAGTGTCAAGCCAAATGGATTTGCTGAAAGTCCAATTGGCCTTTTATTTTGAGGAACCGGCAATGAGCTATCCTGACCCTAGCACTACATTCTGACGTAATGGATATCATTGGAGGCACATCGACTAGGAAAATAACAATGTCCATGAGTTCGATTGAATTACTTCACCATGTCTAGAATGATAGAAAAGAGCTTGGGTTATGAAATGTTTGAGGTGTAGCCCTACCAACTGGCATATGCACGATTAAGCTAGGCTTTCTAGAAGAGGATGATGGCGAATGTATGGCTGTTGTGAGTCATCCCGGCTGCGTGCTATGGAACTACTTAAGGAAGATCCCGCATCAGCTTCGTGGAGAGAGTGAATTGGATTCGCAAGTCAATGCACCAATCACAAAAAATCACACAAAAGCGATTTATCTCTGCAGAAATTCAAAATCTATGTATGAGTGAGAGAGAGAGACTGAAGACGGCAGGATAGATATGATGTCTATAGCCTAATTTGATGGATACGTTTCCAAAAGCGATGTCGCTGTCCTTCAGCATTACTAGAAAAAGATAGCTGTTCAATTCCCAGAAATAGGTTGTCGAAAACACAAGAAAAAATTAACATTATAGGAATTAAAATGTTCTTTTGAACAGTAAGTTGAGTAAAATGGTAACTTGGGGGAATATGGCCATTGGAGTAATATGGTCCTTCGCAATGAATCCCCCTACAGACTGAATAAGTTTCTGCGAATTAAAAAAATAGTTCTATCGAAGAGTACATGCAATTGTCGGAAAGTTTAGACCTGTTCATTGATCCAGTTCCTACAAGAATTCGTGACACATCGATGTA